CCCCGCTACCTGACAACCGGCCGCCGGCGGCCGCGGCAGCCGCAGCGGTGGCGGGCCGTGCGCGCCGGTGCACGTCGCTCATAAGTACCCAGGCACATTCCTGCCTCCGGCGCTCCCGCGCGCCCCCTCCCCCCAGGACATTACGCAAAGCAGCCTCCCCTCATCTGCATAGCGCCTCAGTGAGGGTATTCCCCGCTTTGCCCAACGAGCTGCCCCTCTGACCCTCACCCGGCGAAAGGGCTAGGGGCGCGCGCCCGGCGAGGATGGAGCGAGGCGGCGGCAATTCCACCGTAAAGTGAAACAAGCTAATAATGTTCGGGAGGGCAAGAAAAACAGCACCGAGGCCACTTACCGAGCCGAGGAGGAACCTAGATTCCCGCCGCTCTGCTCGCAAATGCTTGGTTCACCCCGCACGCACCCCTAAGGCTGCACCCAACACCCCAGAGTAGAGACGTGGAGGAACACTGCCAACGAACCCGGAGACCCTCCAAGTTGCTCCCCGCTCCTGGGAGCGTCAACGTCCAAGACACAACTTGGCAAATACTTGTGTCACAGTCACGGAGGATGTTTTTTGGAGACCCTCCTCCAGAGGAGAGACAGCGCTCGCCGGCGCCCGCTCTCCGCCTCTCCACCCCCTCACCTCCAGACCGCCTCCCGCCGGCCGCCCGCCTCCGGGCCCCGAGCCCCTCCGGCGGCTGTCAGCTCCCGGCCGCCGCCGGGTGACACGGGCGGGAGGAGGGCGCGACGCGGCGGGCCGAGCCGGGGCGGGCGAAGGGGATCCTCGCAGCCGCGGCGGCCGCTCACCTGGAAAGTCACCGCTGAGAAGGAGGAGGAGGAAGAGGAGAGAGAGGAGGAGGGAGAGGAAACCCCCCCTGGTGCCCTTGTTCTCGCTGCCGCGGCGGCCGCTCCTCGCCCAGGCTGAGCGTGTCTGGTGGGGGGTGTCTGGTAGCATTTCCTTAAGGACAGAGGGAGGGCGGGCGGAGAGGGAGGGAAGCGAGCCCGACCGCCAGCCCAGCTCCTCTTCCTTTTATTTATTTTTCTGACACTGTACGGAGAGGGACCCAGGGCAGAGGCCGGCGGCTCAGGAGGGCGCCGCGAGGCCCGAGCCGCAGTTGGCTGCGTGCGGAGCCGCAGCGGCCGCTCCCCGCCCGGCTGTGGACGCCGGGGTTGTTCCTGGCAGCGCCTCCCCGAACAGAAGTTACTAGGGGGAGGGGAGGCGAGGGAGGAGGAAGAGGGAGAGACTCAGCCAGCGACGTCATCGGATCCCCCAGCGCGTCCCAGGGAGGGAGGCTGAACCAGAAAAACCAGTCTGGAGTCGGAGAGCGAGCGAAGGATGTGCTGCGCGCGGGGCGACGGGAGAGGGAGGCCGGCCGCGAGGGCAGGGCTGGGCCCGGCCGGGCGATCGCAGCCGCGCTCGCTCGCTGCGTTGCGGGAATTCCCGGGAGAGCCGGTCTCTGCTTGTCATACAAAACCTGGGCGTCTCCAGGAGCCTGAGAATTTCCTTCAAGGATGTGGAAACCTCCATCCCCACCCCCCCCCCCCCTTCTTCCCCATTCGCCACTCAGTCTTCCCGGCAAATGGAATTATATAATAACCAGGGTTGTCATTATGATTTTGGCTGTGGACTCCTGGTCCCTTTGCTCCCTCTACCCCTGCCCCTACTCACTATCAGGTCATCGGTCAAGAAAAACCAAATCAAACCGTCCCTCCTAGAGGCGTTGCTGGAGCTTCGCCGTGTTTACTAGCACTTTCCAAGCCCATTCCAGCAGGGCGAGCGGAAACGGAAACTTTTCCGGCGCCCGAAATGCCCCAGTTGCCTTCCTTGGGGTCAGATGCCTGGCCCCCCGGGCGCACTCGGCCCGGGAGCGCGACCCGCCCCTCGCCGGGTATTCAAATGGTTTGGGCAGCAGCGCGGGGAGCAGCCGCGGGTTTCCTGGTGGGCCTCCCTGGGATCTGGGTGCGGGTGCTGCAGGGCGAGTGCGACCCCCACCCGGCAGGCGTCCCCCTCCTCGGAAAGAAAGGGAGGAAAAGCACTCTCAGGCCAGGGAAAGCGGGGCTGGGGGCCGGGGAAATCCCAGGCCAGTGGCCACCGGGGTTCTTGGCTTCCTCCCCCGCCCGGCAACACCCGGGGGACACCGGGGCTCCCTCCGGCCGTTACCGGGAGTGTGCGGACTCGCGTGCACCCTCGGGGAAGGCTCTAGAGGAGGCTGGGGCAGCCAAGAGCGGCTGGTGGCAGCCGGCCCAGTGCCCGGAGTGCCTCCTCGGGGTGGTCCCCCGCCTGGTGGGACCGCACGCAGCCCCTCCGGGCGCCAGAGCCGCCGCGCCCAGCCAGCCGAGGCAAGCGCCCCGGGCGCCGTGGGCCCGAGCCACCCTCCCCACCCCGGCCGCGCCGCCGCCCTGCTCCGGGCGGAGTAAACAAGAGACGCGCAAGATTTGACCTGGCGCGACCCGGCTTTCTGGCTGGGGTTCCCCCTGAGCAGGTGACTCCGTGGGAGGGGTGGAAATTAGTCTCTGGAATTCCGGGCCAAAGACATGAACTGTGGTTCTGCTTTTAAAGCAGGTATTTGACCAGCAACTGCGGGATGTTTTGCGTCTCGAGTTTCAGATTTCGCGGAAAAGAACCAACGGTCAGGATATATAAAATATTCCCTTTCCTTTTCATTAAATATGAATACATTAAAAGGGAGGGGAGCCCCTTTAATGACTGCGAGAATAGCGCTGCTGGTTTCGTTTTTGTTTTGTTGGGTTTTTTCATTTCGACCTATAATCAGTGTATTTTGGCGGTCCCATGCAATGGCGACATTGCCTTGAAGGGCGTCTCTGCAAAATTCAGCGGTGATACATTCTTTCTTAATCGACGTTTTTTCGAAGAAGAAAAATCTGAAGGGTGTGGAGTAAGTGTTGCTATGCCCTTCTTTTAGGTTGTTCTCATTGAAATTCAGGGCCTGCTTCGGCTCCAACAGCTTCTGCTTTCATTGTATACGTTCTTGACTGTTCAGCCCTTCCTGACTTAACTCGAACCACTTAATAAAAATTCCCCAATCATCATTTCCACGGAAATATATGAAGTTGCATTTTCAAACATCCATTTAAAACGCAGAACGTGATTTTCCAAATGTTTTTTCACTTTGAAACCCACCTGCTACATACTCCCAGAGCCCATTCTATTTAATTGCTTAATAGAGATTAAGCAGTTCCTTTAAGAATCCAATTTCCCTTCAGCACACACAACAGCAGCTGCCCCAGCTCCAGAAACAGAGCAAGGAAAGTAATAGGCAGCATTTTGCTTCACTAGAATGAATGTTAGTTGAAATCTTAAATCCTTCTTTAAAAGACAAGATTAAGTGAGTATAATGGCAACATTAAGATACTCAAGTAATTGGACAGTGTATACATATTCATACATACGTATGTATGTATGTGTGTGTGT